CACAGCGGGTAGGCTGTTTGCCTTGCACATGGCTGATACCGGTTCAATTCCCAGCATCCCATAGGGTCCCCCGAGCACCGCCAGGAATAATACCTCAGAGGCAGGAGTAACCCCTGAGGATCGCCGGGTGTAACCCAGTAAAAAATAAAAACACTGGTAATCAAAATAGCATGTTGTTCGAATTAAAACAGACACTCTAATGAAACTGAACTGAGAACACAGAAACAAATCCCCTTATTTTAATTATATGAATAATTACCTTTTAGGGAGTCAAGAGCATAAAATGGAAAAAGAAAAACTTTCCAACAAATGGTGCTGACAAAACTGGTCAGACATGCAAAATAACGCAGAGGGCCACTATTTCATACCAGGTACTAAAGTTAAATCAAACTGCATTAAAAACTTGGTGTTAGATTCAAATTCGTAAGGTATGTCACAGAAAACATATGCAAAAACACTTCATGTTATTGACTTTAATGGTGCCTTCTGGAATTCAACTCCATTGGCAGTGAAGTTTGAAAAAATAAAGAAATATAATTATATCAAACTAAAAGTCTTCTGCACTGAACACACACACACACACACACACACACACACACACACACACACCCTAACTCTAAAACAGAAAGATATCCTGAAAAATAGAGAAAATATGCACACACCATAATTCTAAAAATGGGGTGGTATGTAAAATGAGTTAGATATAGAAGTAACTCCAAAACTCAACAACAAAACACACCCACTGTCAAAAATGAAAAGGGTTGACCATACTCTTCTGCAAAGAAGATATACACATGATAAGAAGACAAATGAAAATTATTTTATCATTGAGTGCATCATTATACACTGACCAACAATCATGAAATATTACCTCACACTAGTGAAAATGGCTATTTTTTAAAAGTCCAGAAACAAGTGCTTGTAAGGAAGGAAGTGAAAGAGTAAGAATCCTTAACTATTGGTAGGAATGAGATTAGTCTCTATGGAAAATAGTATGAGGAATTCTCAAAAAAATTAAAAATATAACTACTATCTGATGCAGCAATTCCACTCCAAGAATAAAAAAAATTGCTAATTCAAAAGATATATGCACAGTTATGTTTATTGTCACTATTCACAAGAGCCGCAAATTTCCACAGAACTTTGTGACCTTGGACTCTAGACTCAACAGGATCTGGAACAGAGATCCTCTGCCTTCTTCCCCCAGTCTCCCGTGACTCAGGGATCACACCCATAAGCCATACCCTCACTGCACCAGATAATCTCCTCACCGGTCACCCTCCAGAATTCACAGATGCTCCTCCCAGAAGGGAGTATAAAAGAAGGCCTCCAGAACCATGCCACTGGACTCCGCGCCAGGCTGTGGAGCGGGTGAGAGTCCTCCCCACCCCAAGGGACCCAGCCCAACCACCACCACCATGCTCCAGGCCGCTTCCCAGACCACATGGCTGCGCAACACAATCAATATAATCCATCATATCAATAAAAGAAAGCTAACCATATGATCAATGAACAATAAGCGCGACCTCTTATTGTCTAGGTCTCACTCTTGGAGAACCCAGCAGACTATCGAAAGTACCCTGCCCACATAGCAGAGTCTGGCAAGTTCCGCATGGCATATTCGATATGCCAAAACCCACTAACAATGACGGGTCTCATTCCCCTGACCCTCGAAGAGTCTCCAATATGGCACTTGCTAAAATCTCAGGGCTAGGATGAATGGAGACGTTACTGGTGCCTGCTCGAGGAAATCAATGAAAAACGGGGTGACAGTGACAATGAACCATACAATCATATCAATAGATGCAGAGAAAGCATTTGACATGATCCAGCATCCACTTATGATGAAAACTCTAACCAAAACAGGAATTGAAAGAACTTTCCTCAATATAGTCAAAGCCATCTACCACAAGTCCATGGCAAGCATTATTCTCAATCAGGAAAAACTAAAAGCATTAACCCCTAAGATCAGGGACAAGACAAGGATGCCCACTCTCACCATTTCTATTCAATACAGCACTGGAAGTGCTTGCCACAGCAATTAGGGAGGAAAAGGATATTAAGGGCATCTAGATAGGAAAGGAAGAAGTCAAGCTCTCACTATTTTCAGATGACATGATACCATACTTAGAAAACCCTAAAGGCTCTACCCAGAAACTCCTAGAAACAATAGACTTGTATAGTAACGTTGCAGGCTACAAAAAAAATCAGTACCCAAAAAGTCCATGGCTCCCTTATATGCAAATAATGAGAGAGAAGAAAGTGATATGAAGAAAACAATCCCATTCACAATCATGCCTCAGAAAATCAAGTACCTTAGAATCAGCTTAGCTATATGGACATTTCTCAAAAAACTAGAAATTGAGCTTGCATTGACCCAGCAATACCACTTCTGGGAATATACCCCGGAGGCCCAAAAGCACACAGCAGAAACACCATCTGTACTTCTATGTTCATTGAAGCACTATTCACCACAGACAGAATCTGGAAACAACCCGAATGCCCAAGAACAAACAAATAAAGAAAGAAACTATGGTACATCTACACAGTGAAGCTGTTAGGAAAAACGAAGTCATGAAATCTGCCTATAAATGGATAGACACAGAGAATATCGTCCTGAGTGAAATGAGTCAAAAAGAGAAGGACAGATATAGAATGACTACATAAATCTGTGGTATATATAAAAAGAATATGTAGTAGAAGACTAATATCCATGGCCAGGGAAAACAGGGGCTAGGAGAACTGATTAATGGTTGGAATTAACCACAAGTGTTGTGTGGGGCTGCGGGTAGGTAAAACAGAGAAGAGACCAGTATGATAATAATAGCTGGGAATGATCACACTGGACAAGATCTGAGTGTTAAAATACATAAAGGGATATTCCTGATAACCTTTCAGTATTCAATATTGCAAACCACAATGCCCAAAAGGAGAGAGAGAAAGAGAAAGAGAGAGAGAGAGAGAGAGAGAGAGAGAGAGAGAGAGAGAGAGAAGAAAAAGCACCTGCAGGGGTAGGGGGTGGGGGGTGATGGGAAGGAACCTGGGGACACTGGCACTAGGAAATGCACACTAGTGGAGGATGGGTGTTAGAATACTGTATAACTGAAATCCAATCATGAACAGTTTTGTAAGGGTCTATCTCACAGTGATTCAATTAAAAAAGTTTTTTAAAAAAGTTTGAATGTAAAATATAAAATACAATTAAGAATTTGATAACTCGAATGTTTTTATTATACAGAAAAGGAAAATGTGATTTTCCCGAAGAAATGCATCAGTATGGATGACATCTGCAGGGTCAAAGACAATGCTCTCAACTTTTCTTTTCTGTTCCAGCAGGACACACTCTAGTCATGACAGTGCTTCAGCCATGGCTCTGACTTAGGAGATATGAAGGCATATCATCCTTGAAGGGAGGTATGAATGCAATATGCAGTCTCTCAAGGTATCCAGATAGGATTCTAAATCACCATGCAGAGAGTCAAGTCTATTTCAGGTGTTGCAACTCAATAAAGGATGATTATGAAAAGTCACCTCTGAAGGCTCAGTAGATAATCATTAGATCCAGACATGCCCTATCTTCAAACACACAATACCTTCTGCATCAGTTCAGCATAAGCAAGGCTGTAGTAATCGACACTCCATCATTTCAATCACTTGCCATGGAATATGTTTCTTTCTTATTTATAATCAAGTCTACTGTGGGTCCAAATGAGTCTCCAGGACACCTTTCCCCTACTCAGACATTCAGTCTTCCCACAACTGCAAAGAAGGCCCTTGCTATGCTATCAATGGCAGAGGAAGAGATTATAAACAGGCCGAAACACATTAAATGTTCCCACATGAACAGAGAACACATCACATCTGTCTACAATTTTCTTTTCCCCCTGAAATTACATGAGTAAAACCCAATAAACCATCTAAAATATTCTATATGGCTTAAGGAGACCAACCAGTCCAAAATAGGTAAGTTATTGAGATGAAAAGTAAAAATTCCTTTCCTTCCTTTAAAAAGCAAAATGCAGGCAAAAAAGCATGCTTGACAGAAGACAGGGCTCAATGGCTTAATGTCCTAACAATACCAACTACTGTAGACAAAAGTGAAAGCAACATAAAACCAACTCAAAGGAGATTTGTATTAACAGCATATCTTCTGTGGTTCTTAAGGATAAGCAAACCATATGCTCTCTTACAAAGAGCTTTCTCCTTTGGAAGGTACTGACTTAGTGACCCTGTGTAAAAATAAAGAATGAGCTGGGCGTGAAGGTCCATTCTAGAAGGGCATTCTAGAATGTGACCCAGCACAATTAGCGTACTCCTCTGTCTCTTGTGGATATCTGCTTTATGCCCTGGAAACTCAACGCTAAAATCCGTTGAACATCTGGGAAGGTGCAAGTGAAAATCGAACGTCTTTACTAATTCTTACAAATTTAAACTGATTTTCTCTAGTCCGGTCTTAAGAAAGAAGAAACTGCTGCTACAGTTAACAGGGCTCTAACCCTGAAGAACTCTTCTAACATTGTGGCCTGGAACAGCTCCCATGCTATAACTCCCCTAGGAGGAGGCCACCCCTTTCACAGGACACCCCCTCCAGCAGTCACTGGAACACAAACAGTGGATTGGTCTGTAAGCTGCATTTTTAACTAAAGTAGCTCTGAACAACAAAGTTAAAAGTTGTAGAAAGCTTGAAAATGGTGCATTCGAGGATTCTGTTAATATAACCAAACAAAAATATTTCACTTGACTTCATCGAGAAATTCAAATACCCCCCTCTCTTTTCCTCTCCCTCCCTCCTTCCCCCTCCCCCTCTCTCCCACTCCCTCTCTCCTTCTCTCTGCATAAAAAACATGCCTATATTACAATTCTCCTTCCCTTCCTGCAGGGCCTTTCCTCCTCTGATTAACTCTGTTTTCTTTTAGCTTCTGAGCAGCAATAACTCACAATCCCAGCTTGGAAAATTCTAACACACTGCTCCCTCAAGTGTTTGTTTTTCAAATACAGACCTGAATGCAGCCTCTGATGGTGAGAATGTTCGTTTTGTTGACGGATCATTTGAAGAGAAGGTCTCAGGCTCCACTTCTGCCCAGGCTCCAGCTGCAATTGTAAAGGTAGAGGCTGGCATGGGCATGGTTACATAGTAATGCCAGCTTGAATACCCTAGAAACAAGAAGGGGAAACACTATGAGGCCACCATATGATTCTGGACCCTACTCTGTAGTTTTTTGGTTTTGGCACTTGAAGGACTTTATTTTTTTTTCTTTTTCTTTTTTTATTAGTGAAACACCATGAGGTACAGTTATAGACCCACAAATTTTGTTCTCGGGTTTCAGTTACACAATGATCAAGTACCCATCCCTCCACCAGTGCCCATCATCCACCACCACGGTCCTAGCATCCCCCCCAACCCCCATCCCACCCTGCCTCTGTGGCAGGGTATTCCCCCTTGTTCTCTCTCTCTTCTTTAGGGTACTGTGTTTTGCAAGAGAGGCATTGAGTGGCAACCAAGTTTGGACCATAGACTACTTTTAGCATGCCTCTCCCACCCTGGGAGGGTCCTCACAACACCCTTCATTTGGTGCTCTCTTCTCTATCTGAGCTTCCCTTACTTGAAGGACTTTAATGATAAAAAAGAATGAGCCAGTTTTCAGAGCTGGGTCACATAAACTGAAGGGACAATGTTCCAGATTTCAGGGAAAGCGTAAGAGATGACGGTTTCAGGGTGGCCCAGGTGATTTAGATCAACCCCAGAGCCAAGGCGGATTCCTTCAAATGAGGTTATAACCAAAGAGTGGGAATGCAGTGTCCTGAAGGCCACCAACACCGAAAAGCAAAGGCCATGTGCTCCCACAGATGCAAGAACAAACCTGATCATGATTGCTTGGCATAATGTTGGCACTAAGTAGATGTTCTGTTGAATGAGTAAATACTCACTACACAGTTCAATTCTCTTTACTAAATTCACTCTAACATGAATAAAGTAAAAATAATAACAATGAGAATAGGAAAGGAAGATGAATGGGTTTTAAGAAGTACCAATTTGGGATATAATATGCTTTAGAAATTCTGGCATCATTTCTTATCCTTTTTATCTGTTAATGGACTGAGGTGGACCCCCCAACTTCTCATTGAACAGATGAAAAACTGGTCCAAAGATGTTTGATGAAGACAGGGATTCTCAGTTTAGAGTATAGAAGGGCTGAAAGTACACCCTGAGCTCCCCACTCCAGCCAAGGATATGCCCTCCACATAGTGCAAACCATACAGTAAGCATTATCAAGGGAATAAGTCATTATTAATTTATAACAAATACCATACTTCCTTACTTTTAAGATGGGAAAATAATTCTGATGCTTCTGAAACCTTAATGTGCTACACAACAAGACTGAATATAGTCTTTTTTTCTGGCTATCTGCTTTAAGTTGATGGTATCTCTTAAGGGAAACTAACTGGTAAGAGTAACTGCTGAACTCTGTCTCAGCCCGCTACCAACTCCTTTGCAGGAGCTATTCTCTTTCTCAAATTAATTTTAGAGGGTTCAACACTCATGAAGAGGCCTTTGAGATCTCCAATTCAAAGTTGAAATATTAACATCAGGTCATATAATTAGAACTAAAGTAAGAGTTTTCTACGCTAACTAGTAAAAATTGATAAGGTTAGATTTTGATTTTCATATGCTTGCTTGGCTTCAACTAATTCTTAATAAAGGAAACTAGAGGGATCATTATTTATTTCTCTCAGAAACTCTACCAACTTAAACCCAAAGGAAAAAAATCACAGCACTACTTAAATAAAAAAAAAATTTTTAATAGAAAACAAAGACCCACACCTTAGAAAAAAACAAATCTGCTACTATCCAGTTTGAATAAATGTGGCATGGTATCAAGTTTGGAAATCAGTGTAATTTCATCCTGCTTCCGGAAGCAGAATGGTTACTCCTGAAATCTGCTTTCCGTAGTTTTACCAAGACGCTAAAGGTGTGTGATCAAGTGATGATCAAATTCAGTATCAGTGGCTCCTCTTGCATCTGAAGGAAAGCCATGGCTTTCGAGAACTGCTGTTCTGACACGCAGCTGGTGAGAGCACCAGTCATCTCTCTCACTTGGTTCCCAGAATGGTACAGGTGGAAAGTGAAGGGGAATACTGGCCCAAAGGCACCGACAGGAGCATGGTCTCCTATGAGGAAGCTTGTCACTGGCAAACTCGATGCCTTCCCTCAGTTCCAGATCTACGTTTTAGTTTCCTACTCCTAACATCTACAGAGACATCAAAAACCTTGGGGATTTCAGAAATCCCCAAAAATAAAACTGAGAGGCCAAAATAGAAACAAGCAACTTGGAAGACACTGACTATGCAAGAAAATACCAAACACAGTACAGTAAAAGAAGTTTACTACAGTACCAAACAAGAAGAGTATAATATGAAAAGAAATAATTCAAAGATTAAAAAAAGTTTTTAAAATAGGGCTGGTGAGATAGTACAGAGATTATGGGGCTTGCCTTGCATGCTGCTGACCCCCGTTCAATCCCCAGCACCACATATGTTCCCCTGAGCACTGTCAAGAGTGATCCCTGAGTCAGGAACAAGTCCTGGGTACCACCAGCTGTGGAGAGAAGGAAGGAAGGAAGGATTCTACCATGGTTAAAACATGGTAAAAGAAAGAATAACCCAATAACAGGGGCAAAATAGAACATAGAGCTGAAGAAACAGAGGACAAAAAAGATTTTTTAAAAATAAGAGGAAAATAGAAACCAGCTTAGGAGACCTACTGTGCAGAAAAGTTTAGAAGAAGGCAATACAGAAGTAGAACAGAGAAAATTATTAGTTAAAAATTTCCAGAAATGATAACCTTTCAGTGTCTGTACTGCAAACCACAATGGAGGAGGAGGAGGAGGAGGAGGAGGAGGAGGAGGAGGAGGAGAAGGAGGAGGAGGAGGGAGGGGGAGGAGGAGAGAAGGGGAGGGGAGGGAGGGGGAGGAGGAGGAAAAAGGGGGAGAGAGGGGGAGGGAGGGGGAGGAGGAAGAAGGGGGGAGGGGAGGAGGAGGGGAAGGGGAGGAGAAGGAGGAGAAGAAAGGTACTTGTCATAGAGGCAGGCTGGGGAGTGGGGGATGGGGGTATGGTGGGAGGGATCCTGGGGACACTGGTGCAGGGAAACTTGTACATTGGTGAAACAATGGGTGCTGGAACACTGTATGATTGCAACCTAATCATGAACAGCTTTGTAAAGGGTCTATCTCACTGTGATTCGATTTTAAAAATTAAAAAAAAAATTTCCAGAAAGTTTCTCTAAATTCAAGGGCCATGAGTTTTCAGATTAAAAGGTCATACACAATACCCAGGACAACAAATACAAACCAACTTGCATCGAGACACATCATGACAAAATTCAGAACCCGGGGGATTAAAATAAGATCCTACAAGCCTTCAAAAGGGGATTTAAAAATCACATAAAATAAGGGCACTTTCAGACATGCAAAGTTTTGAAAAAAGTGACTCCCACACAATCTATTCTCTGGAAGCTATTAGGGCATGTAAAGTATGCTTCAAAAAAGACTAAATCACGGAGGAAGATGGATGAGCCAAAACAAGAAAGAAACCAGGGAAATATGTAGGATGACGTGAAGGCTGAGCCCAGAAGTCAGCCATGTGCTTTGCAGAACAGAGGCCTCTGCTTCCAGGAGCGGTTACAGGGGGAACCGCACCGAACTCAGGAAGATAAAAGTAAAGGGATGTATCTGAATATCTTGAACTATTTTAACTATATTTTAAAAGTAAGACACTGGGAACAAATAGAAAACCAAGCAATTGAGAAAAGTAATAAGACAGATTCTTGGAAAACTTAGAGTTTTTAATCTATTAAAATGTTACATAATCAAAATTTTATTACAGAACTGACCTATCTTTTGAGGTAATGGTTGACAAAATTGTACCTGCTTAAGGGTACATCTCTTCAAAATGTGTGTTAATACACAACATCCCACAAAAGTTGGGGTAGGGGTTGGGGGGATGGGAGGGTTTGGGCCACTTACTCCTAGCTCTGTGCTCAGGTATCACTTCTGTTCTGAAGGGTTTGGGGGGACCATATAGGATGCGAGGGACGAAACCCAGGTGGTTAAGTGGAAGGCAAATGCCCTATTTGCTATACTATCACTTTGGTGCCAGAGTCAGCTTTTTAAAAATTAATAATTATAACTAGAGTTGTGATATTAATTTTAATTGGAAGATGAGATTTAAGGAAGGGAACATCATGTGATGGTGATCAGCAGAGTAGAGAAGTGAGAGCTAATCGAGATCAACTAAGTCCCACCAGGCCTCTTACTGAACCACGTGGATGTATATATCAAATGATTGGCTCAAAGAGATGAAAATGGTTACTTCCGTTTTATGTAATAGAAAGTAGCACTGTAGCACTGTCACACTGTCGTCCGGTTGTTTATCGATTTGCTCAAACAGGCACCAGTAACGTCTCTATTGTGAGACTTGTTATTACTGTTTTTGGCATATGGAATACACCATGGGTAGCTTGCCAGGCTTTGCCATGTGGGCGGGATACTCTGGGTAGCTTGCGGGGCTCTCCGAAAGGGACAAAGGAATCAAACCCGGGTCGGCCACGTGCATGGCAAACGCCCTACCCGCTGTGCTATCGCTCCAGTCAGTAATGGAAAGTACATGAGTATTTTCAGGAAGCAAATACTTCTGGGAGAAAGTAAAACAGCCAAATAGAAACACTTGAATCCTAAAACAGGTATGTTTGTAATATAACAAGTTAAAAATAAAGGAGGGAAATTCAAATGAATATATCAAGATACCACCTCACACCACTGGTGTCACACTGGCACACATCACAAAGAACAAAATTAACACTGTTGGCAGGAATGTGAGGAAGAAAGGACCCTCATTCACTGTTGGTGGAAATGTCAAACGGCCCAGCCTTTATAGGAAAAAATATGGATGCATCTCAAAAAACTAGAAATTGAGCGGGGATGGGGGGAGATGGGGGGAGGGGGGATGGGACTGAGATAATTGTGGAGAGAAGCAGCTACTCTGGTGGAGCGTGTGGTGCTGTAACATTTTATGTATGAAACCCTGCATGAACAGTTTTGCAAACCACAGTGCCTAAAATAATGTTCAAAACATAAAAAGGATATGAGAGAGGTGGA